CGCACCCTCCGCTTGCGTCAACGCGTCACGAGCCGCCGCCTTCGCCGTAGTGGCCGCCTTCACCGCAGCCGCAGCCTCCGGCTCCGCAGCCGTCACCTCAGTCACCACCGCATCAGCTGCGGTTAATGCGGCGTCAGCGGCGTCCGTGACGTTTTCGGCTTCTGACATAAGTGCATCAAAGTCATCCAAGATATTCTTCGCCGTCTTCGTTAAGTTTGCAAACTTTTCGTCCTCAGTCTGAGTACCTGCTGAAGCACTCTCGGAGTTTGCCAACACCAAGGTATCATCCGCAAGATTCAATACAGTGCCCAGAGACTCTGAAATACGTTTCATTACGTCTGCAACTTTGGTCAAAGCCGTGTGCAACTGCACCGCCGCCGTGCTCCCCTTCAACGCAATGCCATTGACATTACGAACGACATCCAATATCTCCGTCGCTCCTGCTGCCGCGTTCTTCAGGGCCTCGCTGGCTTTCTCCACCGCTGCCCTTGCCTGCTGCACTGGCGCATCTGCACTCTTCACAGGCGCAGCTGTTTTACCCACCGCGTCTTTAAGTAATGACGTCGCAGGCAAAGCATTCTTCTTTGCACCTTCAATCTGTGTCCGTATCTCTGGATTCTTAATGTCTGCAAGAGTCGGATCTTTCTTTCCCACAACTCTTTTCTTCGGAGGGAGCAATATCTTCCTGAGTGCTTTATGCAGCGCATGCACCAGATCAACTGTTTTGTCAGTTTTTCCTTTCTTGCACTCGTCCACCACGTTCCTTGCGGCCTTCATGACTTCATCCGCTGCCACCGTAGCACTTTCCAGTGCCTCCTTCGCAGAAATTGCTGCCGCCTCTGTCTTGTTCGCGGCCTCCAAAGTCTTCGTCCTCGCCGTCACGTCCTCCTCCTGCGCGGACACCTCCGCTGGAGTCCCTGAACCAACTGCGGGTGGCACAGAGGAAGCCTCAGCCTCAGCAGTCACGCAGAAGGACGTGCAGCAGCACAGCGCGAGGACCAACACGCACAGCACGTGGCGCAGCATCAGCGTCAATGTAGCCTGGGACCACTTGTGTCTGCGGGGGAGAGGAGGAGCACAGCAGGTGGCACACACAGAGAGCGAGAGGGACACGGCACCAACACAGTGCACCGCAGCACAGTGAACCACCCAACAAGTGATATCAGTTAGAGGGCAGGCCGCACACAATGCCCAGCGGCAAGCAAAGCCCCAACACACCCAGAGAAGAGACAAGCAGACGCCTCCCGCACTACACGCACAGCACAAGTGAGAGGAGTCACGGGTGAATTAAACAGCGCCCAGCCCACAACAAGGCAGCAATGAAATGAAAACAAAATAATCTTTATAATGAAGAACGCAGTCCTCCACACTCAACGCAATTATTACGAGGCAATCGTCGCCCCCTGCACACACACATAGACATCTTACCACACGGCCACGCAGGCAAACAGCAGCAGTATCAGTGGCACACGCACCCACGCAGTGCTGCTGCTGCTTGCGTCGGTGTTGCCGCCAGGAGGCTTCACGCCCTCTCCCGCAGAGGTGGGAGTACCGGCATCAGTATTGGAAGCCCCTTCGTTGGTGGTCTCTGATTGAGATGTGGCTGTGGAGGCAGTGTGATCGGCGCCATTCACTGTGACGGAGTTGTCTGTTTCTGTGCTCTCTGCCTCGCTGGAGGTTGGAGTGGGGGCGTCGTTGCTGGCAGCGCTGCCCTTTCCTCCATCAGTAGCTTTATCATCTGGATTTGCGCTGACGGTTGTGGATTTAGACAATGGTGTGCTTGATTTCCCAGATGGAGTTTCTTCCTCAAGTGCCAGTTTGTCTGACTGTTGTTTGGGGGTTTGATCCTTAACTGACGAATGCTCAAGTGTGTGAGAGATATCCCCAACTTTTGTTTTCGCAGACGATGCATCTTGGTGTCCGCCGGGTGGTACACTCCGGGAATGCGTGGGAGGCTTTTCGGCAGGAGTTGGCGGGGCGCAAGTAGCCACGACGTTCTCGACGATCTTCACATCGTACCCAGCTCGGACCTTCACTTCATGGTTTTGTGTCTCCGGAATATTTACAGTAGTCTGGACAGAAGTAGTGGGCTTCACAGAAACAACATAAGTGATGGTATCGCTGTCAGCTGCTTCAGTTTCCCCTAAAGGGCAGCGTTTTTCAGCAGTGCCGGAACTAACTTCACCGTTCTTCGTACATTTAACCTCAAGTGAGGTTTTCAGTGTTAAGTTGTACCCATCGAGAACTTTAACTGCATTGGACAGTTCATTCGTAATTTCTTTCGCTTCTTCTAAGGTGCCCTTCTTCAAAGCAACCGTAGTGGAAATGGTAACTTCGCTGGTCTTGCGAGTATTCGGGGTGGTCGGTGGTGTACAGTTGCCGGTCTCAAACCTTTCCGTCAGGGTTATCGTCGCGGCGCCATTAGTAAGTTTCAATTCATGCGTCTTCTCAGGTGTACTACCTGTTGCCACGCACAGAGATGTGCAGCAGCACAGCGCGAGGGCCAACACGCACAGCACGTGGCGCAGCATCAGCGTCAATGTAGCCTGGGACCACCTGTGTCTGCGGGGG